GTTCGTGACGATCTTCACGCTGTCGCACTACGGGCTTTGATTCACAACCACCACTTCCATGGTCAGCGTCCTTTCGAACAGGAACAAATCTTGGACCGTATCATCAGCATGGCGAACGGGTCATTCCTACACATCACATTGACTTGTGAGTTGCTGAATACCCAGAAGTCACCAGATGCCTTGATGAAGACACTGGAGGGCTTTGAATCTTCCAAGCCGTCTTTGTCTGTCCAGGACTTGATTCTCAAGCTCTTCACTACTCTAAACCCGACCAACGACGCAAAGACATTGCTATCGTGGGTTTTGGCCGCTGAGCGACCTCTGACCATCGACGAGATTCAGACCCTGTTCTCAGTCGACGTACAACGCGGCACTGTATCGGAAAAGGGTGTGAACACGAACGAGATCTTCAAGACGCTCGCACCATTGTTCACTCTGCATCAACGCATAGTCCGCTTCAAGCACCCCGTCATTCACTCCACTCTGCATGACTTCTCAGCCAATGGAAAGATTCCTATCCCTCTGAAGGACAGCGAGACGGACATGCTTCTTAGAGTACTTGCTTACTCCAAGCATACTTTGAAGGACCACACTGCCGAACCGACTTTCGACACATTTGATCCTTCAACCCCCGACAGATTGTTCAGGAAGCATCCTTTCCTCGAGTACGCAGTGCGATACTGGGTTCTGCATCTCCAGCAGTCTCCTCTGGCTCCTAAGTCGTCTGGCGAGTTCAAGCCCACCGGCGAACTCCAGAAGGTGTTCCCCGAAAGCACCATGTTCCCCATTCTGGAGTCTTACTGCTGGGATACTCAATTGCCTATCCCTGAGGCTCTGGAGTTACAGAGGCTTGTTAGCATCCTTCGCAGGAACATGCTCCCAGAGAACCACCCTGGTCTTCTCCAGACATACCTGTCAATTGTCTCAAGCTATCTACTCATCTCGAACGTCACAGAGGCCACGAAGTATCTCTACCTGTGTACTATCGTTAGTCGTAAGGTCTTGTCGGATATGCATCCCTTGACCTTGGATTGCGCAAGCCAGTTCTTGAAGATCACAGAGACTCAGACAACGACCACTAGGACTGAGATTATGACACGCCGTGAGGAAATCTTGAAGGTGTTGATTACCACCTACGAGCGTCAATACGGCAGCACCTCCGAGCTAGTCATCGAGACTCGCAAGGTTCTGGCCCAGCTTTACGAGTCCATCAACGAACAGGAACGCTCCATTGAAATCTACCGCCTCATTCAGGATGCCACCATCCAGCTTTATGGCCGAGACTCACATCAAGCCCATGATATCCATGATCATCTCCAAGTGACTCTTGGAAAGGGCACAGGCGATCGTGAGATTGAGATCTACGATGACTTCTCTTTCGAAGTTGACCAAGACGATGAAGAGCACGTCGAGATTCTCACCATCTCTACTATCAACGCCATGTTGATCCAGATCCAAAAGCTTCTCACTATGAAGAGGTTCGCTGAAGTCGAAAGGATGTACGTTGAGCTCTGGATGGAGGTCTCATCCAAATGCCGTACTGTCCAATCTGTGGAATGGCACGAGAAGAACATTGAGATTGCCACCTCTTATTCTCAGTTCTTGAAGAGTCAGAAGCGTACCAACGAATCTGTGGCTATTCTGACCTCAGTCTGGCAGCAGTATGAGTCCCATCATCTGTCCTTTGCGAAGAGCATCGTTCAACGTCTCACAAGCGTTGCCAAGGAGATGAGAAGCATGAATGCGCACTCTCAAGCACTCTCAATTTTCAAGTTCGCCCATTCCTATTACCGCAAGTCCAGCAGCGAAGAGTCCTCTGAGTCGCGTGAAATCAGCCAGCAACTTTCCCAGACTTCCAATGAGCTCGTCCAGCATAGTTTGAATAGCTCCAGCTCTACAACGGAAACTACGACGACCATTTCGGAGTCTGTCTACCAAGACGTATTTTTCACGACCATATCGAGCTCCAAGGCTATTGAGTCTAGCACTATGGCGCTAGCCAAGAAGCTGGTAGTGCAACACATGGCGAAGAAGAACTACACTGCCGCCATCAGTGTTATCCATGCTACTCTGCAGCGTACTTGGTCTTCTTTCCTCGCCAACTCTATCCATGATGTCACCATGGCGACTGTGTTCACTCAGGAGTCAATCGAGCTTGTCGAGCGCCTCGCAGAATGCTATCTGCAGACACGACAGCTTGAAAGGGTTGACGATGTCTACAGCCGCTTCTTCCGCGCTGTTCTAGTCACCGAGAACGTTGACAAGGCCATTTTCGAGAAGTCGAAGAACCTGTTGATCAACTTCTACGACAAGCACGGCTACGCAGACAAGGCAATCAGCACCTACCAGGAGATCTTGGTTGTTTACCGCAACCGTCTGGGCCACACGCACGAGCACACCATTCAAACCCTGTACATCCTCGCTCAGAGATGCCGCAGCCACCCTCGCAACCATGGCTACTGGCTGGACTACTACCTGCAGATCCTCACGGCTCTCAACAAGGACTCAGACGTCTGCCACAAGGATGCACTGGATGCTATGCTCGTTGTCACAGTCACCTACTGGGAAGACCGCAGGTACGCAGAAGCCGTAACCTTCTATAGAGTGCTCTGGAACACTTTCGTTCGCCAGACCAAGCAGCACAAGGTCTTCACCGACGTCAAATTTGTTGAGACGCTATACGAGCGATACTACCAGTGCCTGGAGGAGACCAAGGCCAATTGGTCTGAACTCTACAAGGTGACCAAGGAGTACCGCGAGACTTCCATTGCCGTCTTTGGTGCTGAGTCGACCATCGCTGTCAGCGCAACCCTTGCGCTCGCACAGGTAGCTCAGAGCAGCGAGCAGCATATGTCGGAGGCCATCTCGCTCTACGAGGCGGTCTCGCAGTCGGGTAAGCAGGTCACAACCACTACCAGCATCTCGGAGATCAAGCATGCACTGTCATCTCTCTACTCCAAGCAGATGCACTCTTCTTCTTCCAGCAGCATGAAGGCCGAGACCGTGCAGCGTGCTTTGAGTATGTCCGAGTCGCAGTTCGAGCAATCCACGCGCGAGAATGGATACAGCCACGAATCTTCGCTCACAAGTTTGAGGGAGCTCTCGTCTCTATACTCGCGCCAGCAGAAGTCAGATGTTGCGGTTAAACAGATCTCAAGGACTGTCTCCGAGATTATTTCAAAGGAGACCTCCTCGCAGAAGCAGATCGAGTCCGCCAGGTCTATCGCTGCGACATTCCAGGCTATTGAACAGGTCAGCACTGCGCATGCGATGGTTCACGAGCTACACCGTCAAATCTGCGCCAAGGACGCTCGCAACGCATCCAAGTGGTCATTTGACCTGACGAAGAGCAGCCGTACGGCTATCGCCTTCCTTGCATCTCTCCAGTACAACCTTCGTAAAGATCTCAGCATCAGCTTCTCGGAGATCTACGCTGATTTGACCATGGAGTACATCTACTGGGTGCAGTTCCACCAGACTCTCGACAACAACGAGAGCCTTACCAACATCCTGCTGGCTGCCGCTCCTCTCCGTTACTTCCTGCGCCGCAACGATCAGAAGGACATGATTGCAGTTGTCGAGGAGCAAGCAGTTGGTCTCTTTGTCAAGCGTGACGCACAGGACTTGAAGGACTTCAGCAAGGAGTCGCCACGCATCTTCATCATTGGCATCCTTGACCATCTGGGTAACGGCAGAAATAAGAACTTTAACCGTGCCGTTATCCTGTCCTCCAATGAGAGCGTGGCCAAATGTACCAAGGCGAAGATGTTCCACGAGGCATACGACATTGCCAACCTTGGCTTCCTCTACGCCAGCAAGCATGACGGCTACAACGGCCCTCGTGCTATCAGCATGGGCTTCAAACTTGCCTCGCTGCTTGTCGGTCGCGATGGCGAGAAGTGCCCCGACCCTACTCTTCGCAAGAAGATGCTGGTTCTCTCCAACCGTATTGTCAAGAAGATTTTCGAGATTTGCAGGAACCTCAAGATCAACTTTGCTCAGGTCCAGTTGTACGAGCTGAGCCACCTTTCGGTCCTCCTGGGCGAACAGGAAGACTACGAGAGTCTCGAGTGGCTCCTCACAACTCTCTGGCAGACACGCGATGCGCAAAGATCATGGCCCGCCGAGGTGCTCCTCAACCTTGGCCGCCGCCTCATTTGCGCTCGCTACCTTGCCAACGAGGAGGTCAAGGCCATCCGTCTCGCAGAAGACATTGCCTACAACATGCGCCGAGCCCACGGTCCCCGCGCTCCAGTCACCATCGAGACGTACGAGCTCCTCGCCCAGCTCTACACATCGACTGGCAACAAGTACCAAGCGCAAGCCGCCAAGGGCGAAAAGACTGCTGGCCTCGCCGCGGACTACTTCAAGAAGGCCATTGGCATTCACGAGGATATCCTCCGCGTCCTCGTCAACGACCCAGCCAATTCCGCCAACGAGGACGAGGATGACGATGACGACACCACCGCCGAGCTCCTCGCTCGCGAAGGTGTCAACGTTAACAACGCGCCCAACTCGCCACCCTCAGCTGCTGTTGACTCCAACACGCTCGACAAATCGGCGACAGCGCTCAAGCACCTTCATCTCCTCAAGCTTGCGTACCAGCGCTACGGTGGTTGGCCCAAGTCTTACGACGAGTACGAGCACCTCAACGCCCAGCTGTTCCGCGTGTTCGGCTCAGAGGGCAAGTGGAAGGGTGTCGAGGGTACGGAGAAGTGGGATGCGAAGGCATTTGGTGCTGGCAAGGCTGAGAGCCAGGAGGGTGGCTTCAAGGGTATTGCGGACTGGAGTCTGGGAAGCGATGAGCTGGTCTCTATCGGTCACGGACACGGACAGGGTCAGCACACTGCCATGGTCAACGGAAATGCCATGTTGCACAACAAGAGGATTAATTAAGTGAGGGGTTTGTTTCGTTTCCTGTTCTCGTGAGCAGGTTTTGATCAATTTTTTGAAAAGTTCTGGTTTCACGCTCAGTTATTTAGTTGGTAATAGTAATGTTATGGCGTTCTTGAGTTGACTATCCCGTTCATCAACACTTTGGTCCTTTGTTTGAGGCTTACATATATACAATGAATCTTTGAAATCTTCGCTTTCTTCTTTTTCCTTTACTCTTTGCTCAACAACTCTGCGATTGAAGCTGCAGTGGCGTTGTGAATAGGGAAAGTAGGATGTAGCTCATTGAGCCACAAGTACTCGTTGACTGGGTACTCGCAAGTGTCGTTCTTGGTGTACCAATCCGGTGTTCCACTGCAACTTTGTTAGCGCTACCCATTTCGTCTGCATCCACATCACCAGGAACAACTTACTTCATGTACGCCGCGCAGTAGTCAGTGACATTCTTCAATCCGGCGGTCTGCTCATAACTAGCGGGGTTCTCAATGACGGCATTGAACAGACCCCAGGTATCATGTACGAAGGCAGTGGTTCCAGTATGGTTCGCCTGGAACGCGTTCACCATCTCACTGAGCCTCTTGTTCCAGTCCAGGATAACCTTGCCCTCGTTCTCCTTTGCGTAACCACCGTCATCTTGGTTTAGCGTCATTGGCGCAAGGTTAACAGGCGGCACGCTCAGGAACAAGAAGTTGCGGGCACCGGTTGCGTATACGTCTTCGAGGAGGCTGCCATATACAGAGAAGATGGTGTCGTAGAGCGTGGCGTTGTTGAGCCACCAGCTGTTTCCTACGTCGTTGATGCCGATGAAGAAGGCGAAGAGGGACGACGCGGATGACCAGGGTGCGGTGTCCGGATGTGCACCATATGTGGGAAGGAATTCGGTGCGGACTTGGTTCTTCATGCTGATGACTGTGGGAGCGTATGGTGTTACGAGGTCGGAGTCAACAGTGGCGCCTCCATAGGCCATGTTGTAGGTAAGAAGGTCGCTGGCATTGTAGGTTGTAGAGAGGAAACCAACCCAGTTGGGTCCGTTGGAGGACGTGTAGCCGGGGTACGCAGGGTTGCCGAACGGGTTTGAGGCGCTGGGTTGTGTTCCTTTCACGTCAAAGCCGGTTTGCGTATAGGAATCACCGAAGACGAAGAGTTGTTTGACATTCTTCCAGCCAGACCATGATGAGCCGTTTGAGTACGGGGCAGCGAGGCCGGTAGTGGCGAGAGACAGCGCAAGAGCAGTTGATTTGACCATGTTGTTATGAGAGTCCTAGCAGTAACACAGAATGCAAGTAGCCAAGAGATGAGTTCTGAAGAGGAGCGGCCCGTTAAGTATGATGCCAACAGTATTATACCAGTACCAAACTAATCCGGGTCTCCGGAACAGACGATCTACAGGTGCGAACGAGGTAAATTAGATGAAATTACTCGTTGTATGCAAATACCCCACATATTGGAAATAGAGGGCAAACTACACTGAATCGCTCGCGGAAGAATTCTGGAAAGACGTTTCTAATGCACTAAGAGGGTTGCGCGTGAGTAGTACGCGTAGAAATGCTTGTCCGGAATAGAGTCCGAAGGCATGATGCTCCGTGTTGGAATGGGTATAGCGGGATGATTTGCATCATCATCAACGCGAGTTAGCCTCGACATTGAGGAATTCGTACCTACGTTCGTCGATCTGAAACAAGATCTATAATGATGCCAGGACTTGCATGGTTCGAGGTGTTTGGTGGAAGTTGTGGCGTAGAGGGGGTGCTGCAGGCGGTGCGATTGTTTGTGACAGTGTTAATAGCACAGTCCTGTTAGCCCTAAACGGCTTGGGCATAAAGTGAAGAGTACGCGATGCAGTGTGCCACCTTGAGATGGGTGTGCAGACGCGTTGTGGTATACTTGTCCTAAAGTCCTGTTGTCGCGCTGGGTGGCTGGGAGGCTGGGAAGCTGTGCAGCCCGGACCCAACGCCAATATTTCAAAAGTTTGCCCAGAGCTGAGTTGCAGGGCGAAGTCAGAACATGAATGCGCAGCCTGATTATTGTGTAGAAGAACGCATGGTGCGATGTGGTCAGACTCGTCGAGTGAAACAGGCCCTCCATTTGTTTCCAAGAGTGGGGGTGTCGCAGGTACTCGTTCATGGCTCGTATAGCAACCATGGATACGGCGAGTCGGTGTCCATTGCATCGGCCGGCAGGCCTCTGTCACGAGACGTAGAAAGCAAACAGCCCTGGAATAGTCCACAGCAGTAGGGCATGATATCAGAGAGTCGGATGAAGCGGGAGCTGCAAAGCAGGAGTACTGGCATCGGCCGAGCAGGATATTTACAGTACATGTGCAGGCCTCGGGCGACGTCATATACCGAGAAGTTGCTTTGGCATGCTGCGATGGCACGGAAAGGGGAGAAAGGTAAGACGGATAAACAAGAAACAGTGTGGCTAGAAAGCCGGTTAGTCGAGTAGCTCAAACGGGGAAGAGGTGTAGAAGAATAATGGAGTGGCTGATGAAAGATGGCGTAAGGCTGAACAGGCTAACCAACGCAGACCCTGGGCGATGATGGTCCCAGCCGCCAGACAGCTGTAGCGTCGACACATGTCATCCAGGCATTGAAACATTCTCTGCACGCTGCGCTACGTCTTTTCTTAGCTGCTATAAGCAAAACCCTCTGCTAGTCTTGCCCAGAAATCCAGGGAAACAAAAAGAAAGCCCTGCATCCCTGAACCGGTGCTCTACCAGACTACTCGGCCTCGCAGCAATCCGTATTCCGACTCACCACCACATCGTTGCCAGCGCGCCGTGAAGCTGACAAGGCACCGAAAACCCGACCGATCCTTACGAATCCGACGTCCGAAATGTCCGCTTGCTAGGAACAACGTCATACCCGATCCCTGCATTCGCTCGACCGCCAAACGTTTATACAAACAGCCCTGCGTATTCAGCACCCAAGCCCCGCGTATTGTCGGTACCAAGATCCACAGCCACAACAACCTCATACAGGAAGTAGTATTACTGCACACAGCCAGTCATGGCTGGAATGGAGAACATCGAGGTGCATAGCAAGGTATGTACAGTGTCCACGTCGCGCTCCCACGCTGATTGAAGCCAGTCGTACCTTGTAAGATGGGTCAATGTCAACTCAGGACATACCATATCATGGAGCGTTCAACCCCACAAGAAATCTATCAACTTCGGCATCTTCAAGCACCCCGGATCAGCCACCGGCGCAACTCCAAACCTGCCAGCCTCTGCGACTGTCGAAGCCGGACCTGGCACCCCTAGCCTCGAGCCGCCTACAACGCGCGGACGCGGAGCCTCGACCTCACGAAACGATAGGACCGTGGTGTTAGAAAAGTTGGCGGCCATTGGGCTGAAGCAGGTGCACTGGCATGGGAAATGCGAGGCCGATTTGGTGTCCATGGGCACATACGACGTGCCAGCAGGAGAGGGTGGCATGTACGGATTGGTCTTTGACAACACCTTCTCCAAGACTGTTTCCAAGACAGCCACCTTCGTCCTCATGACATATCCGACGAATGCGGCGCCCAAGTCTGGCCATCACATGCACTATGCGCACGCCATGGCAGGCGCGAGCACAACGAGCCTCCCCAAATCGAGCCCCTCTATGGGCCCCGTCGAATCTTCGGAATCCCTGCCACAAGCCTACGCCGAGCGACCAGGATCACAACATACGCAGAAACAAGCCAGTCTTTCAGGAGGCTCATTCCTTACCGGAGTGCTGCAGAAGAAGAGGAGGAAGAAGAACCAGGGCTATGCCAGGAGGTTCTTCTCCTTGGACTTTACATCGTCTACCCTCTCCTACTACCGAAACGACCATTCCTCAGCATTACGTGGAGCCATACCTTTGTCGTTAGCAGCTGTTGGTGCCAACGAGGACACGCGAGAGATATCTGTCGACTCCGGCGCTGAGATCTGGCAACTACGGGCAAACAACGCGAAAGACTTTCAGATGTGGAAGAACGCGCTTGATCGCGCATCAAGATCAGCGTCAGATAGGGGTAACATGGCTTCGCCAACACTACAAATCAAAGACAGTCCATTCCAAAGCCTTGGGCATGTCATGAATGCGGCCGAAGAGAACGAATGGGCAAGGGTCGAAGCCTTGGTGGGCAGAGTTTCTGGTACAAGAGACGCGGTCCGACGGCTGGCTCAAGATACCGATCCCAAGTATGGTGCATCGTCAGCCATAAGCGTTGGCAAGGTCAACGATAGCCTTTCTCCAACACCCTCCGAAGCCGAATCAGGCGACTACTTCCCAGAACAAAAAGCCCCTGAGAAGATGGCCTTTTGGAAACGCAAGCCGAGCAGTTCTGGCGTTCAGAGTCCGTCTGGTGGTATCTTCAAGAGGAGTGTGTCCGCGCAAGTGGGTGCCGCATCACCTGGAGCCGTTCCTCCTGTACCGCCCCTGCCCTCAAATGCGTCGATAAACGGCAGTCTTGCAGTGCCCAAGCGTAATGGTCGTGCAAGCACGATGAGCTACTCAAGCTACACTAGCCATACACACGAGGAAAGCGTTCACGACAACTGCATGGCTTTACTAAAAGATCTGGACTCTGTCGTCAAGGAGTTCTCTGAACTGATCAGTGAAAGCAAACAACGACGGATGCCTCCACCTGCACCTCTCTCGGCCGTAGAGTCGCGTCATAGCTTTGAATCAGTAGCCGAATCCGTTGATGAGTTCTTCGATGCACCAGATGGCGACGCCAACAGGTCACAGCTCCTTACCATCCGCCGCGACAGCGAAGAGGATAGGCGAGAACGCGAACAATCGCCAGATGCCGACTCGGATGGTGAATCAGAATCGTCATCAGAAAATGGCAGTGTTGGCATGATGGATCGACCTCGCATGTCACGGGAAACTACCCCGGCGCTTTTCCCTACACGACCCAAGTCACTTACACCACTGCCGCTTGAACCTGTGAAGCGCCGCGGCACGGTTCCAGCTCCAAAGGTCCAGCCTCCAAGTCTTATCGCATTCTTCAGGAAGAATGTCGGCAAAGATTTGTCAACTATCGCGATGCCGGTATCAGCTAACGAGCCTACATCTGCACTGCAACGACTGGCAGAGCAGCTGGAGTACAGCGAGCTGCTCGACGCTGCAGTGACTGCCACGCCAGACAACGGTGAGCGCCTCGTCTACATGGCCGCATTCGCCATATCAGCATTTAGCAACGCTCGTGTCAAGGATCGTGCTATTCGTAAGCCGTTCAATCCCATGCTCGGCGAGACCTACGAACTTGTCCGCGAAGACAAGGGTTTCCGTTTCTTCGCAGAGAAGGTTGTCCACCGTCCCGTCCGCATGGCATGTCAAGCCGAAGCTGCGGAATGGACGTTTGTGCAATCGCCAACACCGATGCAAAAGTTTTGGGGTAAGAGTGCAGAGATCAACACCGAGGGTCGTGTGCGCATCTTCCTCCACGGTTCAGGCGAACACTACTCCTGGACTCTCGCAACCTCGTACCTTCGTAACGTCATCGCCGGTGAAAAGTATCTCGAACCCTCCGGCACTATGACCATCATCTCAGAGACTACGGGCGCAAAAGCCATCTGCACCTTCAAAGCCGGTGGCATGTTTGCCGGCCGCTCAGAAGAAGTCTCCGTCCAAGTCTTCGACGCTACCGGCTCCGTTCTGCCCATGGGCGCAACAGGCAAGTGGACGACCGATCTCCAACTCACATCCAATGGCCAACCCACCGGCAAGACAATTTGGAAAGTAGGCGACCTTGTCGACAAAGCTGAGAAGCACTACGGTCTTACCACTTTCGCCGCTGCCCTCAACCAAGTCACGGCCATCGAACAAGACCACATGGCTCCCACGGATTCCCGCCTCCGACCCGATCAGCGCGCGCTCGAAGACGGCGACGTGGACAAAGCCGAAGCACTGAAAGCGCGACTTGAGGAAAGACAGCGCAGTCGAAGAAGGGTCATGGAAGAACATGGTGACGAATGGAAACCACGCTGGTTCACCAAGGTTGGGGCTGTGGAAGCTGCGGCGTTGGGTGACGAAGAAGTTTGGAGACTCAAGGGTGGAAAGGATGGGTACTGGGAGTGCAGGGAACGCGGCGACTGGGGTAATATCCAGGAAGTTTTTGAGACGTAGTGTAGCGAGTTGTTTTTGAGCGACATTTTTTGGTGTTAGATAGTAAGCGACGTTGACCACATCACGCAGACAGCGCGATTGACAGAATCCATGTTGTTGGAATTGATGACGGGCTTTTTACATCGAAGTTATATGGTGAAGATTATGTGACAAATAGCGTCTGACGTGACATGGTACAAAGCGCACAGAATGGTATCAAAACATAATCTTTGGTATATAATACTATGGCAAGAATGGAAGCCGAATGCGGCAGAAAGACCTCATACCCCTATAGATAGCCATGAGTCTCAGGCACCGAAAAACACCGCGCAATGCTAATACCCAAAAGTTGAGAGACTTTCATCTAAGGGTCTACACGGAAGACTGAATCAAAAGAGAAGCTAAGAATCAATACCAAGCCAGTCCAGGTCAAGTTGCTTGGTGGCCTGCTCAAATCTCAATATCCATGCCAATGTCCATGTTAGCAATGATATCGTCATCCATCTTGGGTTTTCTAAATGTCGGTAGTCCTTTCCGCTCGGTCTTCTTCTTGCCTTGCTGTGGTTGTTGTGGGTTCGGTGTGCTTGCTCGGCTTGAAGCGTCGCCGTCAAACAGCGCATCGACGTCCAGGTTGTTGTTCTTCCTGGCCGCCTCCTCCTCCTCTTGTGCCTTCCTGGCCTCTTCTTCTGCTTTCCGCCGGGCCATCTCCTTCTTTTGTTCCATCTTCTTCTGACGCTGTTGGTCGAGTTGTGCTTTGCGGACACGCTCGGCTTCCAGGATGCGGTTCTTGCGGTTCAACTCGGCGATACGTGCGGCCGCTGTTTCTGACTGTGTCGCAATCTTGGGCTGGGCATCCGAGTTGGAGCGGTTAAGGAGATGTGCGTACTTCTTCGACTTGGCGATACGTGCGCTGATGTCGGCATCAGTCCAATGGTGGTTCTGCAGGGCCTTGAGATCGTCGTATTTCCTTTGGAGGTATGACTGTGTGGGGACCTTGGCGTTGGCCTCTATAAGAGATTGGCGGTATGCGTCGAGGTCGCTCTCGCTGAAGCGTTGGTTCGATAAGAATTGGAACTGGTAGTCCTTCTTCACGGAGCCGTGTTGGGCGATAACGTATTGGTCCGTCGCGACGCGCTTGCCGTCTTTTCCTTCAAAAACGTAGGGTTTGCCAGCTGAGAAACCTAAAGACAACATGTTAGCATAATGCGCGATGTAGATGTCGTCCTGCTTACCCTTGATTTGCGCCATCTTGTATAGGGTCCTGCGTTGAGCATCCTGGCCCACACCAACACGTCCAAATGCGCCTGTCATGGCCTCTTCGAAACCTGGATGGAAACAGACTTCTGAGAAGAATCCTCGACCAACACGAACGGACTCGAAATCGCGAAGGGTGGCAGGCACCTCTTCACGGGCCTTCTCTGGCACGCGGTCGTCCCACTCGACGTCGCTCTCACCGTCAGCGTCGACATCTGAGCCACCGTCTCGATCGGCGGAGCTGGACCGCCTGCGGCCACTGCGTCGGTCGTCGTTCCGTTGCCGCTGCTGACCGCGCTGCTCACGCTCACGCTTGTATGCCTCGAGCTTCTCGTTCTTTCGCGGCTGTACCTTGGGGCGACTGCTCTTACGCTCGTCGGCGTCTTCGGAACTAGCCTTGCGCTTCCGGTCGTTCTGGACATTTGCTGCGCGCCTGGCGAGCTCGGCCTTGAAGTTGGCGCTGCTCATCTCCTCGGCGCGTTGACCCAAAATCTCTTCACGATCCAGTTGTGACAAGCCCAGGATGTGGCGCTTGTCTGCCTCGTCGATGTACTTGCCCTCTAGGGGGTAGGGAACATCTGCAGCGCGTTCTGGTACGTCATCGTCGCGGTCTGAATCCGACTCGTCCATGGCGTCGGATCCTAGCGAGTTTGGCGATGAGGCGGCAGGCGACGAGCTACGTGGAGTCAGCGCCATGGTGCGGTAAGGGGTTGAGGTGGTCGGTAGAGAGTTGGGTGGAGGGCCTAGAGCATTGGAAGCGATGGAAAGTCGCGAGGCAGAGGCAGTGGAGGAGGGTGACAGGTGAGAGAGGGTACTCACGCCTCGCCTTCTTCGACGTCTGCATCTTCGTCACCGCCAGCGAGGGCGAAGAGCTCATCGTCGATATCTGACATTGTGAAGGCGGCTCGCGAGGATTTCGCGATAAATTCCGGGTCGTAAAGGCGATGGTGGAGGCGAAAACGGTGTCGCTGGGGGGACTGCGAGCGGATTTGGGCGTGGTTAGGGGGAAAGAGGATGAAAGAAGAACGTGGGAAGTCCAAAGGTCGGGGAAACGCTCGTTGCGCTTGGGCCATACGCGTCGAAAAGTGGGCCTGGTTAGCGTGCATGCAGTGAGCGCATCATACCTCAGCAGACTATTGTTGCGCCTGCTCGGCCCAGGAACAATCGCATTTTCCTTTCACTTTTATCGTACAATAGCCAGACGTCCAACATGTCTTCCGTCCTGCTTTCACCGCGGGTCGTATCTCACAGTGCAGTCCGCCGCGGGCTCCAATACCCTGTGCTCGAATTCCTCGCCCCAAGTACCACAAGCCGTGCACCACGCCAAACGTCACGCCTCTCCAGTACCGTATCAGCACCACAACCACCACCTCCACAGTCTGAATCTCCGCAATCACGGCCCTCGCTGCAAACACAGAAAAATGGCAAGCCAATACGGCCGCTCACGCAAGAGCAGCAAGAGTTCCTTTCCTCTGCATTGAGAGTGAACCAGACGGGTGAACTCGCCGCCATCCTGATATACGCTGCCCAATCGCCCGTCATCACACGGTCACACCCGCACTTGCGACCACTTATGAAGCACATGTACGACCAGGAGGCAGGCCACTACAAGTTCTTTAATGAGGTCATCTCCAAGCACCGCATACGACCCACTGCAATGACACCAATATGGACCGCTGCGGCCACCATGCTTGGCTGGTCGACTGCTGTCATGGGTCGTGAGGCAGCCATGGCCTGTACCGAGGCTGTCGAGACAGAGATTGGTACCCACTACAACGAGCAGGTGCGAGTGCTGCTGGACTGGGCAAACAAGTGCGAGCAGCGGGGCGAAAGTCTGGGCCCAGAGCTGGACAAGTTGGTAGTTGAGCTAAGGAGGATACGAGATGAGGAGCTGGAGCACCTGGATCATGCAGTAGAGAATGATGCCAAGGAAGCGAAACCATACGACTTGCTTACCGAAGTTATAAGAGGAGGCTGTAGAGGAGCCATTTGGGTGAGTGAACGTGTGTAGTGTGATGTGATGAATGAGACGAAACATGTAAATACTGTAACATATTGGACACACAAGTATGGGTATTGAATTGAGGATCGCACGTCGACCTCATTATTAAGTACCCTCTCTTACTAGGGTCAAGCGGGTATTGATGTTCCTTGTCTTTCTGCGCAGAAATTCATTGTATCAAGCAGCAAAAGCAGAAAGGATTCAGAATTGAAAAAATGCATAGATGAAAACTATAATATAGTAGTGCTTACGTGCAGCACGTAACTAAATGACGCCAACACCATGTGAGTATATGCTACCAGTTGTCCAAGACCCAAAACGTTAAGCGTGCATCACTCAAACCCACCGCTAAGATCGCTAAGTACACTCCTCATACCCTGTTTCCTTCCACCTTCCACCTTCTTCCGGAGTGCTTCCTTCCTCTTCCCCTCCTTCTTCTCCAGCAACGCTCTTCGCTCTGCCTCTCGTGCCTGAGCGTGAATGTTACTCCTTCCAGTACCACCTCTCCGCACAGCACTCTCTTTCGGAGTACTGTTGCTTGCTGACCGTTCGCTGCTGACAGACAGATTACTAGTCGCCTGACGTATGAGCGAAGGAACGCGGAATCCTGGCGTTGCAGCAGAGCGAGATACAGCATGGAAGGCTACATTGGAGTCTCCGCCTACAGATTCGTCGACTGTAGATTGCCGACTCAGAGTCAGACGGTCGATGATGGGTTTCCGCGACGCTGGGACAAAGGCAGCTTCTTGGTCATCTTCGGCGTCAGAGAGCTGTGAGTCTGGTATCACGACGCGTGGGTCTTCAATGAGCTCCGAGATAGAGTCTCTGACATCATCCGCAGTCAGAGGCTTGCGGGCGAGGCTGTCGGATGCGGCTGTACGGCGCATGTGCGGAGGTGGTCGGTTCTCCTTTTGCGAGTCTTGAGACTTGCGCTTGAGTGGACTGTTTGGCGTTGACAGGTTTTGAGACTGGGCCTGTGAATCTGGAATGGCTATGTCGTCACCTTGGACATTCTCTTGAGACTGCGAGTTGTTCGTGTCCAACTCTTTCTCGGGCATGTTGAGGTAGTCGTACTCGCCCTCGTCGGCAAAATCAGCTAGTGTGTTGAAGAATGCCTTCTTCTTGTCGTCGTCAGCGAGTGCCTTGACTTTCTGGTCTTGCAACAAGGCGTGAGTCTGCTTTTGGAATGCAGCGCGCTTCTTTCGCTGGCGCAACTCGGCCTCGTCTTCAGAATCGGACATGTCGATGCCATCATAGCCGCCAGCCCTGCGCAGACCGCCCTTCCTCTGCATCTTCTTGTAGAGCTCGGCGAGTTGCTTCTCATCGTCCTTCTTCGTCTTGTCACTGATCTATGTTAGTATCATGAATGTATATGTGAAGATGGAAGCTGAACTTACGCGTAGAAAGCGGCAATCTGGCGCTCGTCAACCTTGACATCGTTGTGGTCGATCATATCCTTGAGGTCTTCGTCTTCCTCGCCCTCTTCATCGTCACTGGCTCCTCCAAGTCCAGCATACTCATCTTCAGACTCCTCGGCTTGTTCCATGACAGCTTCCCTTGCCATACTCTTCTTCTTATTGAACTCTTCGACCGCCTTCGCCTTCTTGGCTTCTTGTTGCATCTTCTTGAAAGCATTCTTGCTATGCTTAGGAGGGCGTTGGATGTCGTCCTCGCTCTCTTCCTCAGCATCGACTAGGTCGTCTTCAACGTCAGAGAGCTCAACAGCTGTCTCTCGTCGTCCACGCTGGAGCTTGCCCTTTTGCTTGATCGGCGATTCAGCAACGGGCATCATGACGGTATCGACTGTGGATGGGGGCAGGACAAGGCCTGCTGGCGACCGAGAGAAGGAGAAGCCTGCATCCTGGGTAGGCTCGAAGTCTTCGACCTGCGTTCGCGAGAACTGTGGGGATGTATTGACTACTTGGCCTATCCCCATGCTGAACTGAGACTCGTCACCAGCCTGTGTGTTCTTTTGTGGAGACGTCAGAGATTGACTGTTGGGAACCAGAAATTCTGAAGCTTGACTAAAGTTTACGCCAGGTTGAGTATCAGGCAGGTTCCGTAGGAAGTCCAGAGAATCTTGCTCAGTGTTAACGGCAGTAGCAGATTGTGAGTTAGACTCCAACTCGGCCATGGTGCCTGCAAACATCTGTGTGAGCCCTATTCCGGCGTTGGCGTTGCCGAAACCAAAAGCGGCCATTGCGTCGTTTTGAGTTGCTGGTTGAGTGGGCGTGGCAGGCCTAGGCGCCACAGCATCGCCATCCTCATCGTCATCATCAATGACTCGATTGCGAGCACGATTCACCATTTGTCTGCGGACTGGCGCAACCGCATCGTCGTCATCCATATCCATATCGGCATCGTCGTCTTGTTGGGCTTGTACCTTCTCCGCTGGCTCGTCGTCTTCGTCAGCCATTCCATCGATGAGAGCATCCGCATCATCTGGGTTGCTTGCTTCGTCTTCGCCCTCATCTTCGGAGCCTGAGAGAACGAGTTCAGCATCTTCCTGGTCATCGTTCTCCCCCGGGTTGGCATCTTCCTCGTCACTACCAACGTAGTCGCCATCGTCCTCGTCACTGGATGGGAGATCATCGATGGTCTCGCCGTTCTTCTTTGCCTCCTTTCTCTCCATCTTGGCTAGCTCGAGGTCCTCTTGCCTTTGCTTCTCGAGCATTGCCACCATGTCGTCGATTTCTTCCTGGCGTTTCTCCCTCTCCTCTTCAGTCTCGGGGTTATGGCCTCGCCTGATCAGATCGGCTATCCTCTCCTCTTTGGCTTTTGCTGTTTGTTGGCGAGCCTTCTGGGCCAGTGAAAACTCCATCTCAAGACGAGTCACTATCTTCTGTCCCTTCTTGCTCTTCGGTGGTGATTTCACCAATTGAGCGAGAGCACGAAGATGTACAAGCGATCCGGCCTCGTGGTCCTTCTTCGTAGGCAATCGATCAAAGACAGGGAATCTACTCTTGGGCTTTTCTACCTGCAGATCATCATCCGAATCAGAGAGTTCCACCATGCCATTGTCCGTAGCCTTCTGAGTCTCTACCACGGCTTTGCCCACAGTCACCGGCTCGGTCTGTTTCATCCAAGGATGCACTGGCAGATGTTGAAACTCAGGTGCTCGTCCTTTACCCTTATCGAGCTTGACGGACCCGGGTGATTGTGCCTTGCTGTCGGCCACTGTGATAGAAATCTGTTGGTCCAGTGGAACATCCTTCTCGTTGGGGGCATGTTGTCTGGGTGGACTTGTTGGCGGCGTGTCATGTATCTGGTTCGCCTCTGCGTCAGAGGATGCCAATGCTGAGCTGGGTTCTGGTGTGGGGAGGGTTACCACTTCGGCGCCGGGCGCTGGATAGTTGAACTTCTTGAACAGATCCTGTGTCGTGAAGCGCTTCTTCGTCTTGGCTTGGTGGGTAAGCTGCATATTACGGCTTATGCGCTGCTGATCCCGCGCCATTGCCTCCATAGCCTTTTTGCCAGCCCTGCGAGTTGGCTTAGCATGTTGTGTGAGCCGCCTACCCCCCTCACCATCTGACTCGGTGCCTGAACCATGATCTGCTGGCCGCCGTGCAATCTTCTTGGGCTTGGTTTGTTGTGCTTCCTCCTCCTGTTGCTTCGCCAGTCTTTCCTCTCGAATCCGTCGCACTCGCTCTTGCAGATCGGCATTGTGCAGGGGATGCGAAGATTCGTCTGACTCTGAACCAGCATTCGGTGATCGTCGCGATGGCTTCTTTGCTGGCGAAGGGTCTGGCGTGACAAAAAGCCCCGGCGATGATCGTCGTGATCGTACGGTTGGTGATGCAGATGCTCGAGGGCTTGCTGTCTTCGTCCGGATTGTGGCTGGTTTGCGGATGTTCGCTCGTACAGGCATCGCGTCCTCATCTTCGCTACTTTCAATTGTAGCAAGAATTGGCGTTTCCTGTTGTGCTTCTTGTGGAGCTGCCGATTTTGATGATGAGTTCTTATTGGCAGCTAGTCGTTTCTTCATAAGTTCGTATGCGTTTTCCCCATCGCTCTCGTCTTCCTCATTAGTTCGCTCTATATCCGGTTGAGGGCGTGCTGTTGTAGCTGGCTTTGCGCTGATTATGGAGGTCGCATCATCTTCAGATCCGGACACTTCATTTTCTGATTCAGCTTCGCTCTCTGAAGAATCTGCGGCAGGTTTGCGTAGAGCTGCTAGCAGCTTTGGTCGAGGCTTTGCCGACGCGTCTGTCGCGCGTGTTGGCGAGGTTTGTGCTGATGTCATGGCTAGTGGTGACAGGACTGGATAGAATCTATATCGATAGAAGCCCTGGTTTACCGTTCGCGAATATGGCGTCTCGATACGTGGTGGTTGCTTTCTGCAGAGGTCGCGTAAGGTCTTCGTTGACGTTACTCAGGAGAAGATCTAGATTCCGGTGTATGGGATCGTGTTAAGCGCGTATTACAAGAAATGACAATGTACGTAGAAAGACAGGACTAATTGTGCAAGGCTGCATACGTTCAATTGCAAATACACATGGCGGGGAACTGTCGTTGTTGGAGCAAGCTTGGACTACGCGTGATTCTCGAAGTCGCGACACGCGACGCGACTGGCGCTTGCCACATGTGGCTCGTAAGTGCCGCCATTCCTTTTTCGCGCTCTACCACCCCATCGACATTACGAGACCGCCGACAACGCATCGTCTACAAACAACGTCGCAGCTGGCGATGTCTACCGGAATATTAACAATACATACTTTGCTGCGAAACCTTCAATTTCTTTGTCTGAGTGTACCCACCACTCCCAAGGTCCGCTAACACGCAGCCGAAAACCTCTCCCGAGGTCTACTTCGGCCACCACCAGACATGACACAGAGCTATTCGTCGTCGCGTGTGTTGTGCGAGCGAGCTACATGGGATGCATGCATCCATAGTCCGCAAGAGATTGAATGCCTTGGTTTACCATTCCAGATCCCGACACATCTGTTTATCCATTTACCCTAGATTTCGATCGCTCCCGACGCCTTCCAATCATCGTGGTGCGCCTCCGAGCAAAAGATGAACGGAACGGCCGTGTCGCGGACTGATTGGGTAATTTGTTCACAAGCGTCCACCAGGTGCGTCGTTACGAGTGCCTCAGCCTTACGCCTCGTTTCTTAACTAGCAGGCGTCTGGACCCGCTGCAGGATACGCTCCGCCACACAGCTCAACATCAGCATGAATGCACACTTCCATGCAATCTCTCCATCCCGTCGCTGAAGGTTCGAGTTGGCCTGCGCAAGATGGAGGCC